TTTATCGCTTACTTCCCAGGTACCCCTGGGGCATACCAGGGGGTAGGGGCTGACAGCAAAGAAGGGCTGTGGGCTAGGCAACAAAGGAGTCTGGGCAATGCAGAGGTGGGAAGATCCAGGGCCTGACCTGGGGCCCCCCAATGACAAAGCGCCCACTGGGCTGCAGGTGGTAGATGGTGTCATCATCCAGGTAGCGGGCAGGCACCACCGCCTTGATGACCTTCTCCTTGAGGGCATCACGCATCTCATCCAGGCTCACATCCTCGTCATGCTGCACCGAGATAACAATCGTGTGCACGCGGATGGGCAGCACAGCCCCACGGTCCTGCATGTACTGCACCGTCACCTGCGGAGAGGCCATGCTGTCAGGGGTGGATGGTTGGGGCAGTAGAACTGAGGCCCACCAGGAAGAGACCCCTGGCCAATGACCAGAAGTATGTGGCTGGAACATAGAAGCAGTGCTCAGACGGCAGTGGCAACTGAGGCCCACCTAAAGGCGCCTCTGGGCTAGGGCATGGGAACACTTGGATTGCCAGGGAAATGGAAGCCTACTAGGAGACCTCAGGGGGGCAGGACTGGGACATTGCAGGGTGGGCATGGTGCAGGGCAGGAATTGAGGGGGCAGAGGACCATGGATGCCCAGAGTCCCACCTGGGAGGAAACCCCAAGCTGTCAAGGGGACAGTGTGAAGGAAGTGGGAATGGGAGGGAGGCTGAGACAGAACTCCTGGGGTCTCATTTTCTAGGGGGCATAAGGGCACTCAAACTGCTGGGGAAACTGAGGCCCACTTGGAAGAAGACCCCAGGCCATCAGGGGGTCAGATGGGGACACAGGGGGCTGGAACACTCCCCCCTCCCCAAGCATATCCCACAGTCCTCTGCACTCAGTCTGTCCTCTCACCTGGGTCTTGGAGTCAGGCCGTAGCCACGGCAAGGTGCCATTGCGCCGCAGCTCAGCCAGCTTTGCATTCAGCTTGTGGGCCAACACAATGGTAAGTGGCATGCACTCCTCTGTCTCGTCTGTGGCGTAGCCGAACATGAGGCCCTGCACAGGTGGGCGGAGCAGCAGGGTCAAGACTTCCCCTGCTGGCAGCCCCAGGCACAATGCATCCCCACTTGTCCCAAAAGCTATGGCTCACCTGGTCCCCAGCCCCAATATCCTCCTCACTGCGATCCAGGTGGACACCCTGGGCTATGTCTGGCGACTGCTGCTCCAGAGCCACCAGCACATTGCAAGTCTTGTAGTCAAAACCTAGGGGCCAAGCAGGGTGGGGTTACTGGGCTGTCTCCACAAGGCAGAAAAGGGTGGGTGGGGACCTCAGGCCAGTCAGAGGGACAGGGCTGGGACATGGGCCACCAGGTATCCAGGCCATTAGAGACACAGGGGCACTCAGCCAGGGAAACTGAGGCTTGCCTGGGAGAAGACTATAGACCATCCGGGGGATGGGAGTGGGACATGGGAGGGGGGCCTCAGTCAGCTGGGAAAATTGAGGCCCACCTAGGAGGCCCCTGGCTCTCAGGGCAACAAGGCTGGGACACAAGGGCCGGGGAGTGGGGCTTGGGCAGCCAGGGAAACAGGTCCACTTGGGAGAAGATGGCAAGCTGTCAGGGGGACGGGACAGGGATACAGAGGCACTCTGATTGCCAGGGAAACTGAGGCACACTAGAAGGAGACGCCACGTTCTTAGGAAGATGGGGCTGAGATATGGTGGGGTAGGAGGGCTCAGACAACTGGGGAAACTGAGGCCCGCCTAGACAGACGCACCCTTGGAAGAATCATCATAGCCAACGTGCTTGATGGTATCACGAACCACCTTCTGGTAATCCACCGCTGCCCGCGACGTGATCTCACCTGCCAGCAGGATCATGCCTGTCTTGGCCACTGTTTCTGAAGGGGAAAGAGAGACAAAGATCAGCCTGGCACTGCCAAAGGCAGGGAAGGTGGGGGGTCCTTCAAAGCTACCACCATCCTGACCTTCAGCCCAGGAACTCACCACATGCCACTTTTGCATCCGGGTCCTGCTTGAGGTGGGCGTCCAGCACTGCATCACTGATCTGGTCACAGATTTTATCTGAGGAAAAGCCCAGCAGCAGCCTGTTAGTATCCAAGTCTCAGCGCTGCCTGCAAGTCAGCCAAGAGCCCCCCTGTGACAGCCGTGGCCTTACACACCTCCCCCTCAAGCTCTAAGGTTATTACTGTGGAATTCACAACATCAAGGCACTGGCTTGGGTTAGAGCTTACATTTTACCCACAATAACCCACACCCCAATGCTTCTTTATTCCCCCAACTGTCCCCCTGGCTGCTCCCCGAGACAAGCCATGATCACAGTGTCAGTGCCAGCTGGGTGGGACACGTGTGGCCTGGATGAGAAGCCGCTGGCCAGCTCCCCCTCCCCAGCTTTGCAAGGCAGATTCCAGCTTTGGAACATTCTCGTGCAGCTGGAGACAGCCGGGCTGAACCTGCCCAACTAGTTTCAGCTGGTCCGTGCGCAGCTGGCTACAGCATAGAGCTGCCTCAGTCCAGAAACTCCCAGATCCTGGCTCTGCAGGAAGCACCAGGCTCCTGGGCATGGTGATCAGATGGACACTGCTTCTTCTGAGTCCACTGTAGCCACCCCACACCCTTCTGGGATCAGCAGAGGTGGATCCAGTGTGTGCTCAAACCACGGGGTCAATGGATTCCTTTTCCCCCCCCCAACAGTCCTCCGACTGGATTGGAAATTTCCTCTGGTTGGCCTGCCCATGATTGGAAGAGCTATTAGAGGTAAGGAAGGGATCAGTTCCCCACAGCTGCAGGCTGAAGAGGCAAGAGGGGAGCGTGGTTTAAACATCAAGCGGAAAAGAAGGGAATCACAATAGAGACAGGGCTGCCCAAACATGGAGCCACGGTCTGGGAGGGACTGTCTGACGTAAGGGGACTGAAGTCCTGCCAGAGGCGATAGCGAGATAATCCCAGCGCGTAATGGAAACGGAGGGAGCGGTGTCAAAGAGCCCATTGAGAAGGGCTAATCCACGAGGCTGCAAGCAGGGGAAGGGAGGAAGGCGGAGAGCTGAGGTGCCCAGAGGCAGTACCAGGGTGGGGATGGATGCACTGGCAGAGTGCAGGGGCTCTCCTCAGTCCCCCAGCCAGCCTGGTTTGGGAAATGCTTCACAATGGCTGTCTTTATGCGGGGAAGAGGCAACTGTGACTGGATGGACAGCTCTTAACCACTGCTTTCCACTATGTCCCCAGACTCAGAGCTGTAGAGAAGCATGTGGAGGGGGTGGGGAATGATAGGGGTCCTAGCCCAACGGGGCTGTGCTCCAGGCTGAGCAGCACGGGCACTCACTGCATCACGTGCGCCTGGGGTGATTCATGCCTCTCCCGGAGCTGCACACTACCATGGCGTCATCGCCTTCTGGGACCCAGCAATGCCTCTGCCCTGCATGGCCCTGGCCTCTGATCCCTACCCCACAGTCCTCTGATCCTGGCTTGTGGGGCCTCCCTGACCCCTCCCTCCCCAAATCCTGCTCCTGCCATAGCTATTGCTCTACAGTCCCGGCCCGAAGTGGACCCGACCCCCAGCCCTGCCTTTTACAGTGGTACCTGCCCCCCCCCCCAGATCCTGCTCCTGGGGCAGGCCCTGGTCCCAGAGGGGCCCCAATGCCCCCTCAATACTGGCTTTTGGGGCAGCCCTCGCCCACCTCAACCCTCCCCCTAAGGTGACACCTGCCACCCCATGGCTGCTTCGGGGGTCTCCCCACTGTTGGGCACCCAGCTACACTACTACCATTGCTTCCGTGCACAGCCCCTCCTCCCTGCGGTCGGGGCTGTCGCCCCCTCCAGTGCACAGCCCCCGCCCCGCCGAGCTCCCCCACCCCGGCCCGGGGACCACGTGCGCAGCGGCGGCCGCAATGCGGCGAGAGCCCACCCCGCGCCCGGCGACGGCGGCGCATGCGCTAAGCGGCACCCCTCTCCCCACCCGTCTACGTCACTGGGGAGCCCGCGCACAAGCTAAGGCGCATGCGCAGCGGGACGTCGGCGTTTCCCGCCGCCCAGCCCGGGGTCGCGCCCCCCCCCGAGGTTTACCTGGGTGCCCTTCCCCCACGGACTCGGAGGTGAAAAGGAAGCTGCCCTCCTCGATGAAGGCCTCATGGAAGCCGTTAAGCTGCCCGTTCATGGCGGCACCGAAAGCAGGAGGCAACAAGATCCAACACGCAGCAGTAGTCTTGGCTAAGTGAGAGCGGCACTCGCCGAGCCACCGGTATTTATATCCTCCCGGGCCCCGCCCATCGCAGGCCACCGGCCCCGCCCTCCCCAATGCACCAATCCGTGGGTGGGGGCGCTTGGAACGAACCATTTTGTTGAGGGGGGAGAGAGGCGGGGGGGTATCTAGGAGATCCCCTCCGTGTCCACACCGTCTAGTTGATGATGGCACGTCACTTACTAAACGGGGAGGCAGTGGCTGCCTCCCCACAGGGATTCAGGGAAGAGTAGAAAGGCAAAGCCTGAGCTGTCCCCTCCCCGTATCTGCCGAGTGGACTAATCCCAGACACTGGAAGTGGGGGGAGGCTGGCGGGAGTGGCCCTGCGCCTGCGCACTGCGGGCTCTTCCCTTTCCTGCGTCCCACTGTCACTCCCGCTCTCCGGATAGAGCGGGGCTGCTTTTGCGCAGGCGCAGTCTCCGTACAGCTGTGAGGTGAGGAGAGCCCTAAGGCGGCTTGGCAGCCATCTTGGTTTATGTCCCAGTCTTTCTATTGTCCACTGTGCAGATGAGACATACAGCCGCCGATCCCCTGGTCATTTGCCTTCCCCTCACAGGGCTGGAGCACACCCTCCCCCCCCTCCCAGCAATAAATACGGTACCATGTCACTCCTTGCCCAGCCTTTGGAGCCCTTCTCTGAGTGGGTCATGCTAATGGTGTGCCTGGCTGCCATCTTGAACATGGCAGAGGCACAGACGCCAGTGGCCACGTGTGGGTGTGGGTTAGACTGTGTCCGGCCACAAAAAGATACAGAAGACAAACTATCAACCATGGAGATGCTCTCCAATGAGGACTGCCAAGCCGTCTGGAACTGCATCTTTCGCAAGGACTTCCGCAAGGACCATGGGGACTTGAGCTGGTTGATAGCACTTCGAGTGCTCCCAGTGAGGCTGTGAAGGTACAAGGAAAGACTAGGGATTTGACTCAATTGCCCCAGGGAAACCTGCCAGGAAGAAACAGATCATTGATCACCTCCTGTACCACTGCCCATATGCCACGGGTGTGTGGGAAAAAGTAAGCCAGGTGCTTGAAGGAGTGACAAGAGTCAGGTTGATGACAAGGGAGGCAGCGCTGTATGGACACTTGACTGAGCAAAAGGGGTCCCAGACAACGCACTTCAACCAGTTTGTGTCCTGAGTTAGAAGTGCCCTGTGGCAATGCAGGAATCTCCTGTTATACAGGCACACTGAGCTCAAGGAAACAGACTGTGTTAAAATCTTTCTGAGCGAACTTCAGTCCTACCACCGGAAATCGGTGCGTGAGGGTGGAGAGGATGTAGCCAACTTCATCTGGAAAAGCGACACCTGGCGCAGGTTGTTCAAAGGCCCCCGGAAGGGGAAGTGGACAGAGAGAACAAAGAGGACAGACACGCAACTGGACCTGGAGACAGCGAGAAGGACTACAACAGGATCAGCAGCAATGGAAGTGACAGCGACATCGATAGCGACAAGGACAGTGAATGAACTGAGAATGTAAACCCCAAATTGGGGTTTGGACTAAAAGATTGTGATTTGGGTAGGTGAGGGTGGGTGTGCAGAGGCACAGGGAAGTAGGTGCATTTATTGTAACGGAAAGCGCAGGTTTCTTAATGTAGTTTTAGGATGTGTGATGGAAAGTTTATGATGGAGGATGCGTATATATATAACTCTCTCTATATAGAAATATCTTTTATAACAAAAAAAAAAGGCTGAGGAGAGCCTGACAGGGGTTTGCTTGCACCACAGGCCTTGTCAAGCCGTGTGGGCCTGCTGCCACGTGCCAGGCCCCACTATGCCTGGGCATCCTCCGTACTCAAAATGGCAGGTGTTGGAGAGCCCTTGCTTGCCAAACCCAGTGGCTGGCAGCAGGGGTCGATCCTAGCTCCCAGACCTTTAGGTTGGAGCAGCCATTTGATCACAGCAAGGTGGATTTGGGAAGGCTGGACTAGGATGAGGGTGACACTGGAGCTGGAGGCACACAGGAGTCCATCTAGGGACAAAGACTGGGTGCAAGATGGGGCTTTGTGGCCTTGTGGAAGCATGTGGCAAGACCTGTAACATAAGCTCTGCCTCTGATCCTAGGGCTGCCTGTTAAACTCTGCCTGTTAAACTCTGCCAATGGTAGCTGCATTTGCAGCCTGTATTTATTTGGCTTTCATCCTCTCGGGCCAGCACCAGAGATGCCCAGTAAAAGCCAGAGCTGCAAGCCTCTGTGTTTTCCTCTAGTACCTGACCTCTGCTGACTTGCCTCCCCGTCACATGCAGTCAGCACCCCCCTGCCCTTGCCCCTTGTTTATAAATGTCCAGACCAGCCTGACAAATGTGACTGGGCAAAGATAAGGCTGGGTTTACATCTGCTGGTTCACTGGGATATCTTGTGCCCAGAACAAATGATAAGAGATATACACAGACACTTCTGCCCTTGCCCTGAGATAAACACATGGATCAGTATTGCCAGTGGCTGCATTTCAGGTGCAATTAGTGTTTAAAAAGGTCAGATGCTGTGGAAAAAACAAAACAAAAAGCCTGGACAGAGATGGAGTTCAGAGATAGATGATCCAGGGCCTTTTCTTTCCTCCTATCTTCCATCCTTCCTGTATGTCCCCTTGCCTGCAGGTTCCAGTGTCAATTATAATCAAATAGAGCTGTAAATGTTATAATGCCTTTTATTTTTTTTAAATGCCAGGGGAAATGTTTTAAAAAGCATGATTTTTCCCATCTTTTGCAGGCTTGGAAACAGAAGCCTGGAACAAACCAAAGGCTGTACAGAGATACCCTGAAGCAAAACTACTCATAGACAATGAGCTGCAACCAAGCCATGGGGTGAGTGATTCTTGACTGTTGCTAACTTGTTTCCAATCAGTGACATTTTGGACTGGTCTGAGGTCACATCTCTGGTTCTTGGCAGGTCTCTTTCCACCAGGTATGTGCTAGA